TGGCTGGAAATGTGTGAGAAGGAACTGCATGTGCTATCCTTTCGCTTTCGTGGACGAGCACGAGGACTTCCGAGAGGAGACGGTCCGCCTCGGGAACCTCCGAGGGAGGGCGAAGCAGAGGAAGGGGGTAGGGCAAGCGGGCCAAGGACAAGTGAAGGCGAGAAACGCTGATTCTCGTGGAAGTTCAACCGTGCGTTGGTCATGCTTTTTATTTGCAAGCGGGAACTGTTTCATAGAAATGAATTCCCTGTTCCTGGTGAGTCTTCCTTGAATACTGGACCTATGCGAGTTTTGAAATGTCTGTGACTCCGAGGGGAACACGGGAAACAAGACTCAACGAAACATGGGAGTTCGTCCACCCAGCGGGACGAATTGTACCCTCTTGCTGCACCTTGCTGCACCTTGCTGCATCCTTGAAGCGATATTTCCATTTTTGCTTTACCTTGTCAAAATCTCGAGAGCGCCCGCGGACTGGATAGCTTACTTGTCGAATTTCAAAAGTAATTTGGGAAAATTGCAACTTTGGCAGACCACGTCCGAAGAGACAAGTAAATGAAGATGGCCTTTTTTTGCACTTTTTTCCCCGCCCTTTTTGCCCCTTTTTTCATCTCGCGATTCCCTTGCGTCCTTTGTCCTTTGTCCTACATTTCCTGTCTGAAAAGGGAAAAGAATGACTTGTCGGAGGAAAATGCTGCCCTTCCTCCAGTGATACCCTTCCTCTCTTCCCTTCCTCCAGTGATGCCCTTCCTCCTTTTTTCCACTTCCGATACATTTTGACGCGACATCCGCCTACTTCCGGTCTCACTCTCCGGTTCTCAAGGATTCCTTTTCAGATCCTTTTCAGATCCTTCGGCACAGTTCATTTATAGGTGGAAAATAATCGGGATGAGGGAACATTGGTCCGGAATTTCCTTCTTCGTCTAAAGCCTTCTAATCGGATAGTTTTTACGCCGCTTAGCGGTTAATGAATTTTACCGGAAATTGAGAAGCCTATTACAGTCCTCCACGTCAGCCAGTCTCGGTGCAAGGCACCGACGAGCACATTCTCTTCCCCCTCCCCCCCTCCCCTCCCCAAAATTGCATTATAGTCACCGGCACCGAGATTGCAGGTCGGAAACGTGGAAGGAACTGCATGTGCTATCCTTTCACTTTCAGGGACGAGCACGAGGACTTCCGAGAGGAGACGGTCCGCCTCGGGAACCTCCGAGGGAGGGCGAAGCAGAGGAGGGGGGAGGGCAAGCGGGCCAAGGACAAGTGAAAGCGAGGAGCGCGCCGAGTCAAAATTCACTTCTCAGCTCGCAAAAATTTAATTTCGCAATTTTTTGAGATGGTGAAAAAATTCCATGACAATTTTATAATTTTAAAGCGGGCAAAGAAACGAGATTTGCTTCGTGATCGCTTCCGGACTCCCCTGTGACCCTGTGACCCACAATTTCGGCATGAGTGTCACATGACCACCCTGTCATACAGGGTGGTCACGAAGCCCCGAGGAATTTTTTCTCCTGCGCTCTTTCTCGGCGATACGAGGCGGTGATTCACGCAGCTATTTCCAATAGACGCAGATGACTTTGTTTCGGGTGCCAACTCCGAAACCATTAGCCAATTAGCATCGGCTGATGACGTCAGGCTGAGACCGGGGCCTTCTTCAAGCCCCCTCTAATTTTTTTTCCTCTCTGTCGTCGGTGACATCAAAGAAATTTTTTACCTTAATTGCTTAAATTGCTTAAATTCCACGCTTTGCAACCGCTAATCGTGCACCTTGTCACTTTCCCTACCGTTTCGTCGCTTGCGAATGACGTCATCTAATGACCTAGTCGCTGCGACACATTATTATACGTGATACAAATTACTCCCTTTAGCCGAAAATCCGTCCCCTCGCCCACGGTATGAATTTTTTTTTTGGATCTGTGCCAAACGAGAGGAAAATGCGCACACTGCGCATTCACGACTAGAGACTTGGTGACACTTGGTGCAATTTGGTTGGAAAATGGCCGTTTGTACTTATAAATAATTGAAATATTTATCGTTGGGACTTCATAACAGGGACGGAATTTGTATCGGATTAAAATGGTAAAAAATATCAAATTCGTCCGGATTTCATGACAATCCTGAATTCAACAGGCCTCGATTTCCAACCGTTTCGATGTAGATATGCCAAAAAAAATTGGCAAAAATTGCCAAAAAATTTGCAATTTTTGCCAAAAGGTTGCCAAAACTTCGTTTCTTCCTCTGTCACGTTTTCTTCTGATGGTAGTGGGAGTATCATCATAAATGCTTTATGATTCGGAGTTAAACTATAAAAAAAGAGGGAGGGAGTAGTTTATCAGATTTGAGATGAGCTGAGATTTATTTCACCTGCTCGTCAAAAAGAAAAAGAAAAACACACAAAAGAAAGAAGCTTCAAAGAAGTAACAAAGATTCCCACTTGGTCATACTCCTAATTTTTTTTTCAATTCAAAGGGAATTAGGGAATTAGTAGGGAAGATGCGCCATGTTTCGGGTTACCATGCATTTTATTTATTATTGCAAACTAGGGATGACTCGAATCTTCACGGATCGTGTTATAGATGATAATTATTCCATAATAGTACTAGTATTATGTTATAGACCATCCTCATTCACTCTCTTGAGACATTCTGTCCCGAGAGGCGCGCCTGTCTTTCCAAAATCTTCTCAACGAGTTGGCAGGATTTCATCGAGATGAAGCCATCCCGTAGGAAAGCGCAGACAGAATGCACGTTGCAATGAGCATGGTGATTAGATGTTGTGGTTTGGAGGTGTCTCTGAGGAGGTTTGGCAGGTCTTGTATGCAGAATCTACATGTTCTTCAAATTTGAGTCCATCATGGTTATTCCCAGGTACTTGACCTTTTTCACAGGCGTTATCACTTCATCTTCTATGCTTAAGCGACGATTCTTGAGCGCATCACATCAAATAAGGTCGAAGGAAGGTCGGAAACGTGGAAGGAACTGCATGTGCTATCCTTTCGCTTTCGTGGACGAGCACGAGGACTTCCGAGAGGAGACGGTCCGCCTCGGGAACCTCCGAGGGAGGGCGAAGCAGAGGAAGGGGGGAGGGCAAGCGGACCAAGGACAAGTGAAGGCGAGGCAGATTCTCTCATCGGAGTGCAGCGTTGCGATTTTTGCGGCGTCACGGAAGAACGAATCGGAATCGCGATTCCGCGACACGCCTGTTGACCCATAGATCCACACGATGAGAAACTCCTCTCCCCTGACTTCCGCTCGATTCCCGATTCGATGGCCTGTGGGCGCAGTGTAGGGGGGGCGGGGGTGGTAAGGGGCGCGCCGCCCCCACTCTTCAAAGATAAACAAATCGGAATAATGAAAAGCGGGAAGCGCGAGTACGTTGCCCCAGACTCCTGCAGGTTTCTTTCTCCCCTTCTCTCGGTCGTGCAAAAGAATGGGAGCGGTAGGCTCCAAGCCCCGGCCTTTTCCAGACGCGTCTGACTCCTGGTCCCAGTCGGCGTCGGCTCTTCTGACTTCGTCGGATCTATCACCACCGTATTCCTTTCTTTTCTTATTTTAGTCAGGAGCGGAAAGAAAGAAGCGAAAGCTGTCATTCCGTTCGTCTGAAAGGGATTCCAATGCAATACGATAAGTCCCTTCAATGGCTGAAAATGCCCCCTTCCCCCCACCCACGCCCCCACCCCCACCCCCATCCCCGCCACCGCCACTTATTCTCTTGACGCTACGCTCATGCCTATGCTCTTGATCGTGACACGATTCAAGGGGGAGAGGGGGAGAGGGGGAGGGGGAGGGGGACTGGGCCGTATCGCGAGAATCTTTGGGGAATCCTGAGGAAATTTTCAGGGAGACCTGGGGCATTTCCAAGGGTCGAGTGGAAAACCGATTTATCTGCGAAAAAAAATTTTTTTTTTTTTTAAGATTCGAAGGGAAGAGTGGTCTATGTGCGAGGGGCATACCGAAAGCAATGCATGTCTGAAGGCAAACATCTGCAATTTCCTGCGACTCTAATCCTTTAATCCCTTAATTTCCAACAACATTGAGCGATTGCTTACCCACGGCCAGACAGCATGCAGATGAATTCCTTTTCCGCCGGCTGCCGAAATCCGCCGTCGGCTTCGGGTTGTGTGCGGCGAATCGGACGTTAGAAAGTTGTTAACGTCTGCGGTGCTGGGGATGGGGAAGCGGACGCGACGGACGAGGCGCTCCGTGGACGTCCTGCCGCCTCCGTCGCGGCCTCGAGAGACACGAACATCGATGACATGGATGGATGGCATATTTTCGCGTGTCATCCCGTTGCCATCCCGTGCCATCCCGTCGGCTGCGACGGAGGAGGCTGGACGTCCGCGTCTCCGTTTCGTCCTGCAGATAATTGCGGATGTTTTGCGGATGTTTTGCAGGTGGCCATTCCCTATTTTTGCATGCAAATGGGAATTACTCTCGGCACGCTCTTCGTGCATATTAAGACTCTTAATTGTCACTCATCGATGGATTTTGTGGTGCTTTCATGTCCGAGTACAACTAAAAAAGTTTAGATTTGTTTTAGAAAATAAATTAATTTAAACTTAATCCAAACCTAATCCTTAATCCTAAATCCAGGCGACCGGAATCGTTCTGCCTCGAAGGCGGCGATAGCGAACGAGGAATCGCTTTTTCGTCACTTTAGCCCAAAGGCTTGGAATTTTTATTCCCCGGTTGACTCGCTCGTCGACTTACTTCCTGGTTCCTCGTTTGGGTTTATTCAGTTAGGGAGATCAATGAGCCGGCTTTGAGACTTCCATGTTAATGACTCCGTCGAGAGCTCCAGCCGGCTCTAATTAACTCGCGGAATTTCCAATGCAAATACGAGAAGGGAAGAGGGGAGCGAAGGGGAGCGGGTCGGGGGCAAAAAGGGGCCGACATGGGGCCAACATCGGGCCAACATCCCTCCCGATCCCACGGGATTCCGCCTCGTTCCCTGTCAATCCGGACGAAGACGGGAAGAAACAGTTCTGCATGTCGGCGTGACGTGACGGCATGCAGAGCGTGGGTCACGTGACGGCATCCAGAGCGCGGTTGTCTCGTCTGGCAGCCGGTCGGAGTCGAGCGGTCACGCCGGCTTGCAAATTTGCAAGGCGGCTGCCAAATGTATTTTCATTCCATTCATACGGGCTTATCTGTTCTTCTCCATCGGGCCGACCATTCACGTGATGGAGGACGAAAAAAAAAGAAGCTGCCTATTTTTAAAGGGGTTGAAAAGTAGGTTGCCTTTTTTTTTTTTGCACTCGATTTCGTCTCACTTTTCGCTTAATGTTCGTTTCGCGGGAGATGAATTATTCCGAACTTCATGAAATTTGATTAATTAGTCAGGAATTAGTCATTAAGGAGTGTCTCTCCCCGCCGCAGCGACATCTTCTGCCACGGCGACCTGCTGAAGACGGTCCAGCTGGCGGAGCTCTTCGGCGACTCGAAGGAGTTCGTGGACATGAAGCTCCGGTTCGGGCCGGAGGTGGTGAAGCACAATTTCCAGACGCTGCAGGAGTCGACGAGAGGGAGTCCGACGAAGGAGGAGGTCCGTCGGTTCGTGGAGGAGAACTTCCTCGAGCCTGGCACGGAGTTCGTGCCGTGGACGCCGGAAGACTGGACGCCGAAGCCGAGCTTCCTGGAGAAGATCGCGAACCCGGCGCTTAGAGGCTGGGCGGAGCAGCTCCACGCGCTGTGGAAGGCGCTGGGACGGAAGATGTCGGGGGACGTGGAGGCTCACCCGGACAAGCACTCGTTGGTGTTCGTGCCGCATCCGACGGTCGTTCCAGGCGGGAGGTTCAGGGAGTTTTACTACTGGGATTCTTATTGGACGCTGAGGGGGCTCTTCGTCTCGGGGATGAAGGAGACCGCGAAGGGGATGATCCAGAATTTTCTGTACATGGTGGAGCGGTTCGGGTTCGTGCCGAACGGGGGCCGCGTGTATTACCAGCGGTCTCAACCGCCTTACCTCATCCCGATGGTGAAGCTCTATCTGGAACACACCGACGATCTCGAGTTTCTCAGGTTCGTCCCTCGCTTCTGGGGTGAAGCCGGTCGGCTGCGATGTTGAGGTTCGAAGGAGAGCTGCCGGCGCCACCTGTCGTGTACGCCGCAAACACTAGTCATAAAAGAATATACCAGTACTTTAGAACAATACAATGGCGCTATTTAAGTATAAAACATGGACTACTAGTGTGGGTCCATAATAATAAAAAATACTTTTGACTATCTGGTATTTAAAAATTGTTTCGCTGCTTAGCATAAACTTGTGAACCAAACCAACGAAGTAGTCGGCAAAAACAACTCCGAATGCATTTAAAAAACGACCGTTCTCCCCGGCAGAGAGAACATCCAAACGCTCGAGAAGGAGTTCGCCTTCTGGATGAACGAGCGGACGCTGAACGTGACGCACGAGGGGAAGCGGCACCGCATGGCCCGCTACAACGTGGAGACGAGCGGGCCCCGCCCGGAGTCGTACAAGGAGGACTATCACTGGGCGTCGCATTTCAGGGCGGAGGAGGAGAGGAGTGCGTTTTATAATGACCTCAAGTCGGCGGCGGAGTCCGGATGGGACTTTTCCACGCGGTGGTTCACTAACTATGGGCAGAGTCACGGTGAGGGTTCTCGGGGGTTCCCCCAGGAATTTCCTGGGAATTCCAAGGATTTCCAGAGATTTCCTGGGATTTGCGTTGCGGACTCGGGGTGAAGGGTTGTGTTTACGTTAACAGGGAATTTGACTGACCTTGAGACGAGGAACGTGATCCCGGTGGACCTGAACAGCTTGTTATGCAAGAACGCTTATCTCCTCTCGGAATTCTTCCGGCTCCTGGGGAATTCCGACCGAGCCGCCATTTATGCCAACGAGGGCGACCGATGGAACGAGACTATCAATTCGGTCCTTTGGGATCCCGAGGCTGGGATTTGGTACGATTACGACATCAAGCGAAAGGTCAGCGCCTTCGAGTTCTCGTCCTGCAATTTTCTTTTCCCCAATTTTATCCATAATCGATTTTTACATTTATTAATGCACACTTTTTATTTTATCGAGTCAATTATGATTAAAAAAATAATTTCCGTCGCAGGAGAGGAGGAAGGCCTATTACCTGTCCAACGTGTACCCTCTCTGGGCCGGCTGCTACGGGACGACGGGACAAGGCGGGCAGGAGAAGGCGGCGGAGAGGGTGCTGGACTACCTGAAGCGGGAGGGAGTCCTGGAACCGATCGGAGGAGTCCCGACGTCGTGGCAGGAGAGCGGGGAGCAGTGGGACCTGCCGAACACGTGGGCCCCGCTGCAGCACATGCTCGTGAGCGCCTTACAGGGCGCGGGGGAGGAGGAGGAGGCGTTCGAGCTGGCGAGGAAGTGGGTGGATAACAACTGGATCACGTTCAGGACGACGAAGGCGATGTTCGAGAAGTACGACTCGATGAAGCAGGGGTATCCCGGGCACGGGGGAGAGTACGACGTGCAGGTCGGGTTCGGGTGGACCAACGGGGTGGCGCTCGAGTTCCTCGCTCGGTACGGGCATCGGTTGAGCACGGATCTGGCGGCGGTGAGCGGCGGCGGGGCACGAGGGGGAGGCGCTGCCGCTCTCGTGCTTCTCGTCGCGGTCGTCGCGGGCGGGTGGTAGGTGGCAGCACCGGACTCGCTCGGGATTTTATTCGTATCGAAAATCAAACTTCGTGTCTCCATTTTTCGTGGTATTTTATTTAGAAAAAACCCAAATGTGATATAGAGAAATGCATGGGCGCGTGTCGCGTAACGACCGAAGGAATTTAGGCTCCAACCGTCGCATCGCCCGTTCGCGTGGAATCTGCCTGTGGATACACACCGTGCATCCCGTCGAGTATTTTCCATTGTGATGAAGCGTTTGTGCGTAGAGGCATGCGTGACTTTGGGCTCTTATCAGGATTTTAGAATAAAGTGGTCATTGGAGGCAGCGTCTCGTTCTCGTGTCGACTCGATAAAGTTATCAGAATTATTTTTTTCCTTGCACTTTTCGGCGTGAATGTGGGTCATGAGCACTTGGAAACCGTCCCATGACCCACCTTGACACACTTTGGATGGAAAAACCTTGGCGTGAGGGACAGTAAACGACCTCGTCCGCAGGCGTCTTCCGCTAACCAGGGTTGCCGGATCGCCTGGTTCGACAGGGGATCCCTTCTGGAAACCTCGGAAATGGTTTCCCTCACTCGTGCATAACCGACCTCAGACCATCCTCACTGGCGTTCATTTGTGAGCACCCCACACGATGAGTCTACGCTCACACGACGTACTCGCTGAGATGCTCAACTTCCCAGCATCTTCACGAAGAGTCCTGGAAGAATAAGGAGCCGGCATTCGACCTCGTCCATGGAAATCGACCCTCCCTCCAACAATCCATCATCCTGCATCATCCTGACAGTCGCGATGAAAGGCGACCTCTGCAACTGCCCTCTCTACCGCTTCGACGTCATCTTCACTGGTCTCCAAGGTGAGTTCGATGAGGTGGGATGCGCTTCTGGATGCTCCCAGATGCTCAACCTCTGCCCACGTTTATTGGTGATCACGATGGGGAACTCCCTGCCTTTGAAGGATCCAGCTTGTTCAACGACAAGTTTCTCTTCCAGTTCCTTTCTCAGCCGTTCCCCATGGATGGGGAAGTCCCCTCCCTCAGCGAGGAGTATGGCGATGTCTTCTGAGCGTATCGTACTTGGAAACTCATCTTTCAGAATTCTATTTATCTTATCGGCTAGTTTCAAAGAGGAAGCGTGAGACTCTTGTACCTTGGGACCCCGTTCATTGTGGCCCAGTTGGACGTCTCCCCTTGGGTTGCGTCGTGGTAGACGCAATTGCGCAATTGAAATTGCTTCGCCAAGATGAGGTTTTAAATTAAATTTCGATGAGGAACTTCTATTACTGTCTATGAATATGGAGGAAAGTTTTAAGACCTTCGGATTAGACGATGCAAGGAAACTTCCCGAGGAATGGAATAATGGCTTCGCTGAAGCCCCTAGACTTCGCTGAAACTCTCACTTCATCATTCTCCGGTGTTTCGCTATGAAGCCAATCCAATTTTCGCGAACCTGGTGGACGATGCATGAGATTGGTTTGGGTCATGCGTAAGCCTTACTTGGGATTTGTGCGATAACGCCATTGATAACGTCGGTTCCCTCTCGTGCTGGCGCTACCAGCGAAGCCATCCGCTTCCACAAGCTGCTTCTTGTCGCCCCGATGCATGCATCGTATTGATGCATTAGACTGGTGCATGCTACACAACTAAGGTTGATGCATGTTTCCCAATTAACCAAAATCAATCAAGTACCTAAGTCGGTGAAATTGAATTCGGAGACGGTCTCTAGATGGCTTCACAGCGAAGCATTGAAGAAAGGAAGTTTCTCCTTATAAATTCATCCTATGACCTTGAAACTTTCCTTGATATTCCTGGACATAATAAAGATTTTCTGTACCAAATTTCATTAATAAACTCTTTCTGAGCACTTCTTTCAGGCGATTAGAAGGATCTCACCTGCCCTTCACTTGAAGGCATTTGCCGAGACATTCCTTTGAAGAATCATCACATTCTTAACATCGACAGACAAGCGAAAGAATGAATGAGAGATTGATAAAATCACTGGTTCTAATGAGGGTGCTAACCCAGACAATGGGGCTGAACATGTCCAGTGGGTCATGTAGCTTGACACCGTTGTCGGGCTCATCATCACTTACGACCATATGATCAGCATAATTTACAGTTAAAGAAATCGCTCTTGCTGGTAATGAAAAGATTTCATGGATGAGGTCTCACGAGGAAACGGACGGGAGAGGGGACTGTCAAGGCGGGATTGCGCGGTGGTTCTGATGGCCCGTCGGTTGAAGTGTTTCGATAATGTTCATGTGACATGTCACATGCTCCCTGACATGGGGTGAGGTCGGGTCGAGGAACTCCGGACCGGGAGGCAAGGCAACGGGGAACCCTTGAGGATCGGGTGGAGAAATTTTGGGCAATTTTTTTCGTAATCCGGAACTCTTCCGTCATCGTCCACTCATCGAGCGGGGAATCCGCAATTCCAAGCCCCGCTTTCATATCACGAACGACATTAAATGAGCGAAAATACTCAGAATCCGACCCGAAATCCAGCAATCCGCGAATTTCTGCAGCGACTCGACGAGTTTCCGATGCAACTGAAAAGGACTATCAAGGATTCTCTTCGGAAGAGACTCCGCCAAAGAAGCGTCCGCCTCCAGAAACTCACGACAGGCCATCCCTGCAACAGGCCAACACTCCAAAACAGACATCCTCCTCGATTGAGCAAATCCGGATTTAGGCTTTGCGGCATCATCTGATTTAAAATGACTAAATTCTTACCTTGAGAGCCTTCAGTGATTCTACAGGCCCTCCCCCCTGCCATCAAAGGGGAGGAAGGGTGCCATTATGAGCCCATTTGTCAAGCCACCCGTCATCGTTTGACCCGCTTAAAGGTCCCGAGGTGATTAGAGGACTCCGAGGGAATCGCTTCGATGCAATGGATTCCCATCAACATGCCTCTCTCTTCCCCTTCCTATATTTACCCCTACGCAAACGGCCTCTTCCAGGTCACTCGCCCCACTGCATGAGACGATCCACTTTCAGAAAAACTCACGGAACTTCGTAGATTCCAGTTAACTTTTGATTCCAGCGGAATCCTTTCCGGACATTTTTGGTATCCTCGAATCGAGTCATTACATCCTTTACTCGTAATGAATGGGGAATGGATCAAGACTTCAGGACGACCGAACGTTTCTGAGGTGAGTAGAGAGGGAGGAGGTGAGTAGAGAGGGAGGAGGTGAGTAGAGAGGGGGAGGAGGTGAGTAGAGAGGGGGAGGGAGAAAGGGAAGGATATAAGCAGAACCGCACACAGTTCCTTATAATAATAAAAATTATTTCCTCGCCCTGCTACCGAAACAATGTGTTTTAAAGTATAGAATAGATGCCGAACACTTAGAACGCTAGAAAGAATGTGCGATTTTTAATTTTGCAACTTTTCACGAGATCCAAGAGCAGTTCTGAAACTCTTAAACGCTGTCGTCGTTCAGGAGCTCCGCTACTTAACAAATTTCTGCCGCGGAAATCGCAAAATCCTCGTTCGGGGATCGACACGTCGTGGAAGCTGTGTAATTTGAATGATTAAAAGATGAGAATATTTTTCTCTTTCGTGGAACCCATCGGTGAGGCACGATCCGAGAGGGATGTCAGGAGGGATGTCAGGAGGGATGTCAGGAGGGATGTCAGGAGGGATGTCAGGAGGGATGTCAGGAGGGATGTCAGGAGGGATGTCAGGAGGGATGTCAGGAGGGATGTCAGGAAGATGGTTTTACTCACATGTGAATCCCAGGCAGCTGGGGATCCTTCCAGTCGACGCCGTTATCACAAATTTATTGTGTCTTGCTGGATCCGGATCCAGACCCGGATCCGGGAGTGAATTATCGGATTTGATATTGAGAATTCAACCGTCCTTCTCTCTTCGCCAGTGCCGTGATTCTTGACCGGAGAGCAAAAAATAAATAAATAAATAAAACCGCTGGTTGAAGGACATTGAAGTAGAGGTGTGCGCGGGAGTGATTTTTGACTCGCGATCACGAGAGGAAAACCGAGTCGTCGCTTACTTTCACGCAAACTCGAGATTCAATATTACTTGAGAATCATGAACACGCATGATCATTGCAAGCGTGAATTAAACTCACGCAAAATCATGCGTGATCCCGCGTGAATCGTGTCACGCGTGATAGTCACCGCTTCGTTTTTCGTTGAAAATAATTCCAATTATTTGCTTCGATATTGTATAAATAGTAAAATGAACAAGTAAGTGTGGCACACGAGTACGATTAGAGCTGTTCTTGAAAAGCAAAGAGAAATAACTTGCTGAGATAGTTCCATCCTCATAAAAGCTAGAACTCTCTTGGACAACGAATGAAAGGGAAATAGAGCAACTTTTGGTATATATATATATTTTTCTTTTTCTCCAGGAAAAGCTTGCATGAGAATGTGGAACTTTCGACGTTCCCACGGGTTCGATCTTCGATCCTTGTTGAAGGATATTTTAAATCTGGCAGTCTATTAAAAAAAAAAAGGAGAGAAAAAAAAATACTCACGATCGCTCACGATCACGCGCGAGTGAATTCTGTTCTCTTCACGATCACGATAAAGACATTCTCCGAACCTCGGTTCGAGCAACGACTCACGAAAAAGGTCGTGAGTCCCGCGTGAATCACGCGTGAAGCGGGACTCACGCACACCTCTACATTGAAGTATCTGGAAAGTCCATTATTAAGCGAAAACCTGGCGACATGTTTCCGTGACATTTTCCTGCTGCGACATGTTTTTAGCGCCATTGCTTCCGTTTTTGAACCGTTCCGAACTCTTCCGTTCTCTCAAAATTCTTGGAAACAGAAGAAACCGGTTTTTTTTTTTTTTTCCAGGGTGGCTCGGGGGGGGGGGGGGGGGGGTGGG